AAAAAATTAAAAAGGTTAGCTGAAAAATAACAATTATATTAAGCAAAAAAAAAACTAAACTTTCATTGCAATAACTATACCTAATAATAAATAACAGGCAGGCTGAAAAGTTCGTAGGCTTACATTGAAAAAAAAAATGTTTAATCATAAAATCAATTGTTCAATGTCGTTGCCTTCGAGGTAGCTAGCGGTCATACAATTTTTTGATACTAGCCTCAAAATAGGCGATTTTCTCTTCATTGGCGCGAAATTTTCAAAAAGTCGCTGGGGGCCAGATCTGGAGAATACGGTGGATGAGAAAACAATTCAAAGCTATCTCGATCAACTTCACTTTGCTGTCATTCAAAATCATTTTATGAACTTTTTTGATGTTTTCGTCGGTAACGGCCTCTTTGATAGCCTTCTAGGACGAATCTGTAAAAAACAATATTCATTAATTCATCTAGATTTAAATAAATTCTATGAAAATATTGTTCCGGAGGTTAATTACACTACAAGACCAAAGTTGGCAAGTAAGTAACACGCTCTGTTAATGAATACAAGCAGCATCCACAGAAAAAATTAAAAGAACCGTACTTTTAACGTTCAAGCCAGTCTCGGATATACCTACACAGTAGGAACTACTCCCCTGGCTAATACCATGAAGGGCGTTGGATTATATCCGACAGGCGTCAGTGCAGCAATCTTCACAGAAAATTTCCTGCATATGCAATTGGCAATACAACTGAAAGAGTCGACCTTCAATTTTGGAACGGGCACGGATATAATCCAACGCCCTTCGTGGTATTAGCCAGGGGAGTATTGTTTTCTGATAGGCATCAGTCCATTCAAATTACTGTGTAGGTATATCCGAGACAGGCTTGAACATTTAAAGTTCATTTCTTTAGATTTGTTTACTGTCAGTCTTCAAGCATAGCCCACTGACTGATAAGAAAGAAAAAATTAGTTTACATTATATTTTTTTCCATCTCAATCAACTGAGAAGCTGGTACAGTGAGATATAGTGGAAAGATAATGTGAACTGAGAATATATTCTCTTATTGGGAGTTTTGTCAGTTCAGCGATTTTGGAATTGTTTTACACAACTGAGGAGACAGAAATGGAATCGCTAAAAGAGTTCAAGGACGTAACCGTGTTAGGAATCACACATTAAAAGGTAAGACCCCGTTAGTCCATAGCTCGCACAAGTTTCTCAACTTCTGAGAGTTGTCGTTGTATGCATCATGTCTTGCGCTGTTTCCAAACAGTTTCGGATATTAGAACCAGAACAAACCTCTTGTTTTTTGAACAGCCTTGTATGTTGGCACAGGTTTCTTTGAAATCCAAAATGAGAATGTTTTTTTCCAATTTATGAATAATCATGAAATTCCGAGGTGATTAGCTAATTAATTTGGGTATCTTTATGAATATAAGGGTAAATGAGACATTCGATACTTGAGGTAATGAACCCACTATAAATGTCAATTTGATAAATTTGTCTAGAAGTTTCAGTTATAATTGATATTGTTTCTTTCATTAATTGTCAGAACAAACTTTTATAGAAAGAAAGAAAGAAAGAAAGAAATTTATTCATTCATGGACCAACTACATGGTATCGAACATGTCAACTTATACTTATAAATATGTAAACAAACAAACATGTAAATATACATTCAATACATATAAACATAGGACCATAAAATACAGATATATATNCCAATTTAATCGAAATTAAACGACCTCGTGCATTTACTTTTATGATATTTAGTATGTTATAAAAATATCCCTAGACTTTTCCGATGTGTGTATTTCAATATTATAGATTGTATTTTTCTGTAAATTAGTCTTGTACTAAACGATTTTCTTCAGTGACAATGCCATGACTTGAATTGTTCAAGGTAAGTGGAAAAATAATTTCACACGTTTTACGACAATAGCAAGTGATTCAGAGAAAAAATTCTTCGCAGGTTTTGATTGTATTGAACAATTGTAGTTAAATATGTTGAATATTTCAAAATGCTGACAATAAAATTATCCCACATATACTAGTGATATCAAAAGCAAGCCATGATAAATTATAAGGTGAAATCAATATTTGCTTTAGATTCCAATGCATTTCAATATCGCAAAACAAAAAATCCTCCAAACAAAAGGAGAGCATATATAAATTTCACGCTGTAAGTAGGTGGTCAATTTACAACATACAAAATTACAACTTCAATGAAAATTTAATCTCATCCAAACATGAGAGGGGAAAATGAGAATATAAAATAGCATTTACTGGGAAAGTATGAGGCTACTCACCGAAACCTCCTTTTGTTTAGGATATTTCAAAAATCAATAACCCTGTCTCACCTCAAAACATCTGTGGTATACTGAGAATCCAATGGATGGGTCGTCTCGGACTGCTGCTGGAGAAGATCTTCGGTATTCTGTTGTATATTTGGGCTGTGCAGGTGCAGAGCATTCTTCAAAAATGCAGGACACACCCCTTCCAAATGGGGACACGACGACCAGAACCAATTCGGCATCCTTCCCGTAGGAGCTGTCGAAACCATGTACCCCAATGCCAAAGGCTGTTGAAGTAATACCCCAAACTCTTCCGTAGGTTCGTTTCCTCTCATGTTCATTCCGATCATCGGCGTTCCTTCCCTCCCGATAATCATGCCGCCATTTGGACTGCCGATTCCCGACTCCTCCCTTCTAGGGCTTCCTGTTGGACTCTGACCTCCACCGATTTCAGACCAATTGATGAAATCTTCAAATTCGTTCATCCCCTCTACTTCCCCTATGTCATCATCGGGGAAAAGATCCAGATCTCCAGAGCTAATGTGTTGTTCGGCGAAGGTAGTTTGGGAAGACGTTGTTGTAGCGCTGGTTGGAAATACAAGTATGTGCGTGCAGCTGACGTCCTGTGGTGTAGAGAGCTGGGAATTGACGGAAATTTGACTGAAACGCTCATCTGGAGTGAACTGATCAGGCATCAATCTCAGAACCGAATCAGGCTCTAAGCTAACTAGACATGCGCTGAGGATACACGGAACTGCGCTCGGATACATCATCGAACATTGGTTACAGATATCTTTCAGATGTTTGGAGGTTTTCAAAAGATTCTTACGGCTCAACAACCAACTCCAACCCTTCAGTTCGCCGTGACCTATTCTTCCCAACCTTCCAACTACCAACCGCCAAGGTTTAACGCTTTGCGACATCACTCCCAAGATAAAGTTCATCAGTTTTTCCAGACCGATTCTCCTCGACGACGCCTTTTTTCGCCTGCTTCTGTTCGGCACATCTATGTTTATCGTTATGGTCTCGAAGATTTCACCCCGGTCGTCGGTTGCGACAGCCAAGAGCCAGCTTTGGTCTTCGGAAAGACAATAGCTCAGGTACAAAACGGAAGCCTGGTCTTGGGTTCCCTTTCCAAACGTATCTATACTGCCGACTTTTTCTCTCATCGGCGCCAAAATGTACGGTGGAGTGTAAAGTTTATAAGGAGCGCGATTTTTTTCCTAAAAAAAGAAATTTTCAATTCATTTCATGGAGAATCAGAAGTATTATTTACCACATATCATGGAATTAACAAATTTGCGATATTTATTAAATTATTAATTCATAATGACAGCCCTCCTGATGGGTAATACTTTTATTTTATAATTACTAATTTGTCTCTTAATTAGGTTTAATGAGTTCAAAAAATGGTTAAAGGTTGAGAGGTAAACGACAATCTACTCCTGATGTCATCTTTATAGATTTGTTTTTCATTGTCACAATCACAATATAATAATAATAATAATATTTATTCACACACAAGGATAATAGTACAAGGATAATAGTACAAAATTGTAATTTGAAAACAAATTTCTAAAACTAACGGTGAATAAATTTACAGCTTACGAAGTACAAGTACTTGTTTGTAACTCAGCCGTGAAAGTCTGAACCATTTTGTCAATGAACTATTATTAGACTTATATAATGTAAATGGTTTGTGGAGATCAATAAACTAGGCTTTGTTGGACTGTTTTTTCTTATTAATTATAATTCATGGCTATTTTCAAAAAGGAACTGCTCCCAAGCACCTTCAAATAGTTTTATGCAATGCTTGTTACCATGAAAAACCAATATATACCTTACAATACTTATTATATCGATAACAGTGAAGTATCTCGCAGTTATTTGAGTGATCAGGGACACTGTATTAAAATTAACGATACATCAAGTGAAACTATGACCATAAGAACAGGGGTCCCCCAAGGAACCGTTCTTGGTCCAATACTTTTTCAAGCCTACATAAATTCTCTACTCTGAAAGTAAAAGCAAGAATTATATGCTGATGATACAGTTGTTATTTTCAACGAAAATCCATGGTCTGAAACCAAAAATTCTGTCCAGTCAAGCATGGAAAAAATTCATAAATGGTTGAGTATGTATCGTCTTTCATTAAAAGTTCCAGGTACGAGGGAGGAAATCAAAGAAATAAACGAGGTCAAGTATTTGGGCATAATTATTGACAATAATTTAAAATGGAACAATTATGATGACTATCTGACAGAAAAAGTGAGGAAGCTATTTTATAAATTTTACCAGCTATGAAAGTTTCTATTGAAAAAATATACTCATATCAATTTACAAATCTCTAGCTGAATCACTTTTTCGTTATGATATTCTGGTATGGGGAGCAATGCATCAGAGTTCCTTGGAAAAACCGAACGTAATACAGAACTGAAAATAATCTTTATGTGTCTTCGAAAATTACTTTGAATTTATCAAAATATTAGAACGCCGATAGATTCACTGCCACTAAATTCTTTCCTAACTTTGTAGCATAACACAAGTGTTAAGTCACTAAGATGCTATTTTATACACAATATTTACTTTATGTACTGCAATTATTGTCTTTACATCCATTTCTTCGTTAGTGTTTTATTCTTTCAATTGAAGGGGTTATATTTTTAGGAGTGATTAATTTTTGGGAAAGAAAGTTTTTGGCTTTCTACTACTCCATCTTGATACAAAAAAAGGATGAGGGAATCTTCCAAAGAAAGGAAGAAAGTAATCAATCTGAAAATAAGTAACTCTATACATGGATGTGTTTTATTCTTATTTTTTGGTATTTTTGTGTATCAATTAAATAAAACCTTAAGCCATGATTTCAATTATTTTCATTTCACATTTCACTGCAGACATGAACTGTGGTTTTTAAATGTGACTTTCTGCTCAATTTGATATAAATATAAATCAATTCAAGTTTCCCACGGTATAAATCAACAGATTATTAAAATCAATTGGAAAGGGAGTATATACAATGTAATAAAATTAATTATTTCACTTTTCTTCAACTATTGTGCACGAGTTTTTTTTTTTTTTGATTAACTAAAAATTTCAACTTCTATTCACAATCCTCAAGTTCAAACTAAAGTTAAGCTACTATAAATTTCAGGTTATAACTTCATGCTCATGATCCTCAGGCCCCTAAAACCTTATATCCTATAATGGTCCAACTACTTCAGGCTCATCGACATTGGCAATTTTCGATTTGAAAGTGGAATGTTTTATTAAATAACCCTCGACATTCCTAATTCACGAATCTTACCTATTAAAACTTGAGATAGAAACGAAATTGGGTTCAATAAAAATGGACTGGGTACTTACATCTTTACTTTTGAGGAAATGATCAGCCATTGCAGCAGTACCAAAACCAGTAAGGGATTTTACGTTGTTCGAATGTACAAGAAGTCTTCTGCACTGCGAAAAAATATTGAGCGCCAGTGCCCTCATGTGATCGCTGTGTCGTATTCTATCGCGTGCCTTGTTCAGCTCAACTATACTTTCCAATGATATGATCTAAAATTGTAAAAAAATACATTATTGCATCGTATAAATATATAATTTATTGTATTTTGAAATTTACAAGTTAATTTCAGTATCCATATGGGATTATAGTGGAATTAATTTAATGTACAAGTAATATTATCAATTTATTTTTTCCCAAGAAACATACAATGTTTATAGCAGGGAAANTTATAAAAAAAAATCATGATTTTTGCATCAATTGAAAAACCTGACTTTCATCAACCCCGTTTTCGATTGTTTCAATCTTTTTCTGTTCCCAATTCGATATCCATACATTTGTTGAATAATAATCATTGTGTACTCATCACTTCTGCTCAGAGCATACGATTATCGGACCCACTGATCACTCATCTATCGTTGTGGTACACGGTTACTAGTTACTGTACTGGCAATAATTATCTGATATCAGAGACAGGCGCTATAGTTTCCATAAAAAAAAAACTAAAAGTTGATCTCACTCACCTGTACACTAATATTATTCCGAATATTTTCAGGAACGGCTGCCAAGATCGACTGGTAACATCTCAAGAGAGCAAGACAAGCCAATCTTTGCAATTCTGGCTGATCGGAACCCAACGTGAAAGGCTCCACAAGGTATACAACAACCGATGGTACCTCCCTCTCATCATCATCGTTGAAAGATTCCATTACGTTACTAATTGGAGAAGAATCTTTCATTCCATCATCTATAAAAAAAAATAATTGTGAAGACATTGTACGGGAGAACTGAGAGTTTTCTTTCCCCTGTTTCGGCAAATTTCTATAATATAATAAACGAATAACAATCAAAACACTCAGTTGGCATTGATCACATTCCAACTATAACTTCAAAAAAGATGGCTCATTACATAGTTGAAGCTCTGGCTGATCTGACTGAATTAGACTTGATTTCAGGGATTTCTTCAGATAGTTTAAAAATTGCCAAAGTGACTTCAATAAATAAAAACGGCTCAAAAACAGAGCCTACGTCACTATTGCCATCCTTGGCAACTTTTTTAGAGGAAATGAAATACAACAGAATAATGTCCTTTTCAAATCCCAATCAATCATTATTTTCTCAAAAATATGGGTTCAGAAAACGCATATCGACTGAACTGGCAATATACTGTTGTAAATTATCCCCTGAAAATATTAACGTCGGCCGCCGCTGGTCATCGCTTTGAGAGACTTCCCCATCGGCTTCCAGAGACTTCCATTATAATATATCAACACTACAAACAGGTAGATGAAGCAATGCCAGTTGAAAGTGCGGTACGAAGTGAGCTAACAAGGCGATAGACATTCAAAGTTCTGTAAAAGATATATTCGAGATCATAAACTTTATGAAATTAACATAAAAGAACAATCGGAATCATATTTCATAGCAAATAACTTGTTATCGCCCTCACAACATGGTTTCACTAAGAAAAAAAGTACTGATACGACACTGTGTGAATTTCAAAATCGAATAGTAAGTGCTCTAGACAAAAAGAAATGTGTTTTAGGATTATTTATTGACTTTTCACGGGCTTTCGATTGTGTGAACCATAATCTTTTGCTGGACAAACTTTCAAGATATGGTGTAAGAGGAATACCCCTATCCTTACTAAACTCATACTTATATAAGAGAAGGCAAGTAGTCAAAGTTGGAAAAAGTCTAAGTACTGAAAGAAATATTGAGGATGGGGTACCACAGGGATNCTTACTAATATTTGATAGTAATGCTATAGGTCTGTAATTTTTTATTTGATCCTTGTCACCCTTTTTGAAGATTGCTTTTATATGAGCTATTTTTAGATATATTCGAGATCTTTTGTGATTTCAGCAGGGCGTTTGACTGCATTCAGCATGATATTCTATTTTCTAAACTATATTCCTATGGCATCCGAGGTGTTGCTCTTGATTGGATAATGTCTTTTGTGAGTAATCGTCAACAATATGTCAGTATTAAGACTAATGACGAACAGTCTAGAACGGCTGACTCAAACAGTCTTAATATAAATATGGGAGTTCCCCAAGGCTCAGTACTTGAGCCCATTATGTTGTTTTTTTATATCAACGAAATTGACACTTTAGCTAAAGATGCACACTTTATTATTTACGCGGATGATACATCCATACTGATCTCGAATAAAGCAGATGACATTATTGCTGAGGAGTGTAGCGATTATTGAGTAACATAACTTCATGGTGTAACGCGAATTCACTTTTCTTTAATACTGAGAAAACACATTTTATGAGGTATCATCACGTTCAGAAAAATATTTCTAATATAACAGTTAATGTTGGCAATTAAAAATTAAGTTACACTGACAAAGCAACATTTTTAGGCATCACAATTGATGATTGTGTGAACTGGAAATCTCACTGTAATAATCTGATTAGAAAGTTAAATTCTCTTTGTTTTGTGCTTCAACAGCTCAGAGAAGTACTCACGTGTGAACAATTACTCATGTTATATCATGCTCATGTGGCTTCAAGAATACTATATGGGATCCTCCTTTGCGATGGATCCACACTAGGATGCTTGTACCGAGATGTTTTCTCGGTACAAAAAAAATTCTGCGACTCATTGCTAGGGTACCCTGTACATACTCATGTAGAAATATCTTTTTCCACTTCAGACTTTAAACAATAGCAAGTTTATTTATCTTAGAGCTATGCATTTATGTATTTAATGATAGAAAAGACTTTACTTTGAATGTGAATATTTACAGCATCAATACCAGACAAAATAAAGACAAATTTTATATTCCGTTTTATAAGTACAAGGTGCCAGAAAACTCTGCTTGTTACCTGGGACCAACACTTTTTAATAATCTTCCACAAGAGATTAGGGAAACAGGGTGCCTGAGAAAATTTAAATTTCTAATCAAAAGATTTTTAATCAACAAAAATCCTTACACGATACAGGAGTTCAGTTTTTCTACGTTTACAATGTAAGGTATGACCATGAAGAATGTTATCACCATTACTAAAAAAACAACAAATGCCATTATTTCCAACATACCTTGGTCACTTTTCGGGGTTACAGGCCCTTTATCAGAACTGGAACTAGACTGTTGACCGCCCGTATTGTCTGGGGTACTTGGAGGGGGCATAGGGCTTGGAGCTGGTTGGTCGTTACTCTCTTGAGGTGGATCTAAGAGGGTCTTGTCCATTGGAACTTGTTGAAGATGTGGCGCCAAGTGATGTTTACATACCTGATAATACAAATGATAAAATTCTAGTTTAAAAACATACCAGCAACAAATATCCTTGTAAAAGCAAGATACTATAACTTATATAGATATATTGTGAACTTCATGAATCGAGCAGAATTCTACACCTGTATGAAGTTCTCCGTTACAATTTCAATTGTTTTCAGGTTGTGGAAGGTGACAATTTCCAGAAAGATCAATAAAAAACTCAAGATTTTCTCAACAAAAATTATCTCTTGTTCAGTATTCATTTGTTTATTAATTTACGGTATTGCCCATTTTTACAAAATAATTAACAAATTCACAAATAAGCCGATCAATTACAATCTTTTCAGTCTTTTTAAATGATTCCGAAGGAGAATTGAAAAGTTCTAAATCTACATTGAGTGCGTTAGCAAGTCTCAAATTTCTACCTATAGACTCATTCAGGCCATAGTTAGTATGATCAAAGGGTACTTTTAAAATTCCTGTATTTCTTGTTCTCTTTTTATTAAGAGCAAATCTACATTGAGTGTGTTAGAAAGTCTCAAAATTCTACCTATAGACTCATTCAGGCCATAGTTAGTATGATCAAAGAGTACTTTTAAAATTTCTGTATTTCTTGTTCTCTTTTTATCAAGAGCAAATTGTGGGAATTAATGGCACCATTGATCATTTTTTGAATTAGCGTAAGATCTGATTATAATCTTCTATGAGCCAGAGTATTAAGTTATGAATCTCCAATATAATTTTATAGTTATATTCACCGATTGGATATCCTAGTTTTTATGCAGAGTATCAGCATATCAATATCCACATTACATGAAGGACACCAAATTGTGAAGTTGTATGAGACTATTGATTTAACAATTTTTAAGGAAAATATTCCTCTGCAGATCTAAGAGAAACCTAACATTTTTAGTGCTCTAGAAGTAACACTTGCAATATGGGGTTTGAATGACACATTTGTGAATCAAGAGTGATCCCTAAATCTTTGATTGTATTTGTTGTTTCCAGTGCCATTATTTGGACCATTTATTGTCTATTTTCACTTGCAGTAAGTTTATATCATACCAGCATACGAAGTTAAATAAATCACACAGTAATAATTCAGTATCAGATGAGCCATGAATAAATTTGAACATAGAGAATAACATCATTAAAGTCATTTACAAATAGGTTGAAAATTTATGGTCCTAAATAAGATCCCTGCGGTACACCAGATGGAACTGTGATTGAGTTACCATATTGTAGATATTGGACTCTGCAGGCAAGATAACTTTCAATCCATTTCAGAATGGTTTCCTGAATACCCAAAGCGTTTAGTTTATGCAACAACAAATTGTGATTTACTCGGTCGAATGCTTTAAAAAAATCTGTGTGAATACAGTTAACCTGTTGTCTATTCTCGAAGGTATTTATTATGAAGAGTTGATAAATGAGCAGATTTGTACTATCACGACTGAATCCATGTCGCTGATTTATGGTAGTTTTTGTTATCTAACAATATAGGTAATGGGATATGTTCCTCAATTTGGGTTATTACAGTAAATGCAAGTTTGAACTAAATAAAGTTGGGTTTAATTCATGAGTTTTTCAAATTCACTTCGAAAAGTATTTAAATTGATGTTTCAAATGTTGGGTTTCAATTTTTAAAGGGATTTGTTTCTAATTCACATATTGGCAACAGCGCCTATATGAAGTTGAAATAATATTTTTTAAGTATTTAAATAATTTTTTAAAGAAAAAGGTTGAAATGATAAGTTTGAAATGCGTTGTTTTAGAGCTCTTTTATGAAAACTACTTGATTTTCGTCAGGAGGAACATTCCCCATTCAGATTGATTGCAAACTGCCCAATAATTTTCAATGTTATTATGTGATCCACTTTTATAAAAAGATTTTAAAAAACTGTTTTTCCAATAATCTGAAGAGGTGAAAGATTTCAAAGAAATACTGAATATCACCTGAATAGGTTTGGCCATGGTGAAAATGAGTTTTTAATTAAGAATAGCGGAATTCCATCGGGACCTGCAGACAACTTCCAAAACAGCTAGAGACTAATAAATTTTATCACTCTATTGTGAAAGACGACCATCATGAGGGGTATAACTGACATTTTTTTATTCATAATTCATATCTATATCATAATTTTCACAGTGCAGATATCAAGTGATCCAGCGATGATGAAAAAGTTTTGTGAACTATGAAGTAGTTACTGTGATCTTCAAAAAAGTGACGGTTCTCGTGATATCAGATATAAACAATTTAAATGATGGGATATCTGTAAACGAAAAAAAGATTCAACAGAAACAAATTTAATTATGATGAACACAATCACCAACCTAGGAAAAACTGTAAGAATTTCAGGTAAATCCAAGCTTGGAATATTAAAAACAAAATAAACGAAAAACCTTTACGATCGCCCCCTAACCTAAATTGTTATCCACTCCATAAAGATGTAAAACGTTTGATTGAGTTATTTTGGGAAAAATTAACTCACTAGGAAACTAGGTGTACTTAATGGAATGCTACAATAGGACAAGATGGAATCGAATAGAGAAATAGCCTTTAAAATTACAGTAGTTTATACATATAGTAACTAAAAAGCAATAAAACTGTCCTTCATAGTAATTGAATGACTTACTAGTTTTAACAACAATTCAAAATATTCATACCTGCGCATACAACTTCAACATATCAGTAGTCTCCCCTTCTCCTAACAGAGTGAACCATTCCTCGACAGGTTCATTGCCGATCTTCATTTTAGCAGTTTTTCCCACCCTCAGAATACCGTCTCTGAGCACCTTCGTGATAGGGCTGTGTCTACCCAGTTTGCACATCTCGTAGGCCGTTGAGAGTTCCCTGAAAAACGTCCTGACCCTAGGAAGTATAGCATCGTTGTCTGGTGCGACTACAATATAAGCCACGTCTCTGGCATACGAATACGGTTCCAATAAAAGAGTTTCCCAGTGTTGCAGGGCGTAGGGTGACAGAGATAGCCAATCTTTATCGTGGCCAACTATTACAGATGGAATTGGTTGTGGTTCACATCTGTCGTCAGTACCTGAAACAGAACAGAATCAGAAAATCTGCAATAGAAACATACTCTTCTAAAAATAAAAAATAAAGTGTTCATATTCAAAGTTGTTAGACTGTATTGGCATTATTTTAGGATCTTTAAAATCTAGATCTAGATCTGCTTATTTTGCCTTTGTAGATGCACATAGAAGATATGAAGATGAACCTTGGTGATTGAAACACGTGTCGAATTGTTTAAAATATTTGTTTGGTATTGGGAAAAAACTCCCAATTTGTCAACAGGAACTTTTTCTTAGGGCAATAAACGTATTTCTTTCTCTCTCTATCTTTCTCTATTGACAATTAACGATATTCTGATGTGTGGAAACTATTTTTGTTATATTGGAATTTATATTCAAAATAACAAAACACACAGTTTGCTCTGAAAAAGGAATGAGTTATGAAAGGATAAAAATAACTCTGTCAAAGACTTCATTATTTATATGGTAATCACTTGCAGCATCAAATCGTTTTCACAGAGCTTTCAAACATCTTGTTCAATAAAGATAAGAATAGTAAATGGATAAAAAACTACCAGTCAGAAAAATTATCAAATATTTACCTCTTCCAGCTAGCCTGTGGAACTGTCTCCAAGTAAGAGGACCCTTAACTGCAGAGGGAGCCTCCCACAGCCTCGTCTGACATTTTTTCTGTATGGCCTCTTGTAGAAGGGGTTGGAGGTTTCTCATTACCCTCACGACGTCTTGATTGCATTGTGGTCCAGTGGCCCTCAAGAAAGGCCACCTGTGCATTGCGACTGATTGTGAAGACTTCGAATGTTTCGTGTCCTCAACCTATTCAAGAGATGTTCAAATCAAAGTTGATAAAAAAAAATGTATCTCCCACAATGACATATTCAGCTGATATTACTTTTTCTATGGAGTTTTTGTATCAAACGCCGAATTCAATACCCATATCGAAATATAAAGCTATACATCTAAAATGAGACAACTGACAGCACAAAGTGGTCGCCATTTTTACATAAGAACGGTGTTTACTACAGAACTGAAACCCGCAGTTTTATTTGTACATTTGATGGTATTGTCTTTATTATTCCAAGAAACATTAATTGTTTATTAATAATAAATTAACTAATTTACCTAAAGATACAAATTTAACAAAATAATGAAATATTGAACAAGAAAACACAAGTAATTAATATGAACAGTGATAATTAAGTTTGTTAATAGGTATTAAAAACTAAAATAATTCAATAAGAAAACACGAGTAGAATAATCAATATGAGCAGTCAAATGTGAGATCATCCATACTCAGTATAAAATGTTTAGATAATTCTGGCTATATGAAAAATGAGTTCTGTATTTAAGTTAATTTGTATGTTAGGTTTTGTACCAGTTTTATTCTATTTTAAAGAAATTTATTAAACCATTTAAGAGACCTTTGAGGTGATACCAAATTATTATGTATTTCTTTTTTGTAGTTTTAATTATTGTAGGTAGTAGTTATTAACAAATATAAGTAGATTTTTTTATCATTGTGTGATGTATATTAATGTTACCATTATTACCATTTTTTTATGATGCACAGTTTGGAACCTTTGGTGTAGTAATGAATATTACTGAAGTAAATTTATTTTCTTGAAGCCAATCTGAAATTATTTTTGTGTGTTTTTATATCATCATGAATTCTGTCAAAGTTACTTGAAGAGTATATAATTGCTGTATCATCAGCAAATAATTCAACTGATCTGTTCAGAGGTAAATTTGTTAATGCATATTAAAAAAAAGGAGTGGACCAAGAGTAGATTCTTTACGGTACCCCAAAATTTAATTTTCTTGTGGAACCTTTGTTGTCTATCACTCATATAATTTACAAACCAATAAACGATATTTCCTCTAGTGTCAAAATTGTTTAGTTCTGAGATCAATTTATGGAATTATCCAAAATCTCAATACAATTTTGGTATACTTATGTAAAAATGGCGGCTCTTCTATTTCCTATTAGCTATACTCTTTTAGATATAAGATTCAATCTCACAACAAAGTAATCAAATCATCCTAATAGAATGGTGAAATTAGAAGTAAATAGATTGGAAGCTGCTACTTGTTCTACTTATTCGATAGTAATACTCGAAATGTATACTATACTAAACATATTTTGTATGAATCAAATGTAAAATGTATAGTTTGCAAGCACCCATAGATTGACAAGTTTTGGCGTACCTTACACAAACTCAAATTGTCCAGTAAACTTTTACTCTGCTCCAGTGCTATACTGGTAACTTCGTTACCATCACCGTATTCGAGTACGTGGATGCTATTGGTCTGAACTCCCATTTTCGTTTGCGCACATCTAGCAGCTCGACACAAGGAATTAGAAGTATTTGGTATGAAGACGAGCTGTTCTCGAACTAGTTCTATTAAACTGTGTGGCAGGATGTCAATCTGTTCCCTGTCGATGCTAGAATCCATCTTGACTGAATTGGTGGCCATAAGAAACGAGAGGAGTGATGATTTTTTCTTTTCTCCAGGATCTTCGGCTATACCTAAAAAAATTGAATTCAAACATGCAGATAACTGTTTATATGTTTATAAATGAATTTAAAAAAAATCTTCAATTACATTTACTATAATTCCAAACAGTAGATTTTCATTGTTTACATCTACAATTACTATGATTTCAACCACCTTTGAAACTTTTAGTTTCAGTCCCGTTGGTTTCTCACAATAGACCCATGCATTCACATGTGCCTGTTTGAGTAAAATTGAAAGAAATTAATGAGATCTGAAGACATTGCAGACCCTCCAGAAATGTATCTGCAATTTCCATTGTACTGAAAAGTTCGTAGGCTAACACAAAGATGGCGCTGTAAGTACTATATCAATATGATTTTTATTCAACACTAACCTACAATAAACACATGTACAAATTTCACAGCTGTCGGACTATCAGTTTGTGTGATAGAACATTTTGAGTGAAGCAAATTGTCAGTTTGAAGAAAATAGACATTCTCCACTCTCATAAATATACCATCCTGTAATCTTACCTGTTATCTCCATCTCGTCTTCGTAAAAAAGTCCACTCCCATAAGCCAACCTCCTATTCACAACCGTCGAAAAGCCGCAACTACACGATATAGAATCATCTTCGCCGCCGTGTTGGTCATCGTTCATCATCCCTCTATAGGGCGGAGGCTGACCCACATTACTGCCCGGATACGGACTACTGGGTTGCGGGTGATGCTTATCGCTAGTCGAATTCAACAAGTAAATTCCCGCGTCCGCTCCCCTGATGTTCCCCACGACTTTACCGTCAGCGTTGCAGACACACAACGAACAACTGTCGAAGTTGTGATCCCGGAAGATGTTGAAAGTCGTGTCGGTGAGGAGGATGTTGAGCAGCAAGCTGGAAGCCTCCGGAGTCCTTTGCACGTTGGGCGTAGGTAGCGGCTCGACAGAGTTGAGATTTTTGTTGAGGTATGAACTAGCGGTAGAAGTAGCGGGACTGGCCATCTCGTAAGGAGGAGGAGGAGGTCTGAACCCGCTGTGTAGTGGACTAGGAGGAAAGGGATTAAAACGTGAGCACTAGGCTATATATAAAATATAAATAGATACATACATGTACATTACAAAAATAAAAGAAAAGCATCTTATTGACTTATATTAGGAGATTAAAAATTCATGCACAGAATAAAATGCATTATTTGCTAGGTGACTGTATAATCTCGATTTAAATGTTTGCAGACTGCATTTATTTCCGAATAGTTTGACTGCATGGTTATAGAAAATGATGCCTTGATAACTCACAGAGTCCTGTCCCACCGCCATACGTGAGTAAGGTAGTCTCAATTCGTTACCCCTACGTGTGTTGTAGTTATGACACATATTATTTTTTGTGTAGTGAGATTCATTTTTTTTATATTTACAGCTACTACATATATGTACAGGCAGAGAAGAGTAAGTATAGACAGCTGAGTGAATGATTCTTTATACTGAAGTCCAGCTAGGCATCTTATTACTTTTTTTTGGAGTTTAAATGCTTTCATGGCTTGAGCTGAGTTTCCCCAGAAGGGCAATCCGTAAGATAAAATAGACTGCACAAGTCCATTGTATATTAATTTTATCATTTGCGAAGCCTAACGTAAAATTATTTGATGAGATGTGATATAAACAACTTTTTATATTGATTTTACCAACAGATCCTAGCTTCGAACCTTATGGCAGACCCGAACAAGTATAGACACGTGACCAAAAGAATTCATATTCCACATGTTGTTTTCTCTAGAAGAGATAGTTCGTAAATAGTTAAGCAAGCCTTGCAAAAACGAATGTGATTTTCTGGAACTTCAACTAGCGTTTCCTAATATGACTAATAACCAGTCCGTGCAAAACTTGTTGTTAAATCATCTGAAAATGGAATTTTTAACAGGAGATGATCGACTGTATTGCCAAACATGAGCCAAACTAACTGACTGTTATAAGGAAACGAGTACAGCTGAGGCACCAGTCAATCTAATAATGACACTGATGATCTTCAAACAAGACTCAACCTCTGAGGAAAGCACCAAACTCTTTCGCACCAAAAGTTTCGAAATAGATGAACACTTCAATCTAGCAGACCACTAGCATAATATCCATGTTCTGGCATTGAATTTGGTCATTATTACGCCTTGGTCAAAGACAAAACGGACTAGTTTAAGTTTGACGATAGTCGTGTCACGAAGTGTTCTGGCGATGTATTGAATCTATTAGAGCCTCTGGAGACACCCTACATTTTATTTTATGAGAGGACATTGGCAGATCATGATCACCAGATGATGTGGTGCTGCAGGTTTTTCCGGGTTTTCCTGCAGCTGAAAAAGCAAATGCGCCACTGGAATCAATGAAGTCACCCCGGAGCGCCAATTAATTTCTATTGTTGTTTTATAATTTCACAAATGAAGGTTTTAAAGAACAATTCGTTCAGGCCAGTCTCAACTCCCTACACTGTAGGTTAATGGAATGACACATCAGAAAACAACTACTCCCCTGACTAATACCACGAAGGGCGTTGGATTATATCCGACAAGTGTCAGTGCAGGATTCTTCACAGAAGTTAACAACAATAGTTCATACAAAGAAATAACTTTCAGACACATACTTTTCAGAACTTGATCTTTTTTATTTGTTACATTTGAAATTCAAAAAAATGGCAATCAGACGACTTCATCCAGAAATTCAAAACTCCCATAATTTCTGTTTGAAACACAAATAATCATAGAAACAAACTGTATTAATATTCAAGAATTGATAAGATATGTGAAGCCTAACGTAAAATTATTTGATGAGATACGATATAAACAACTTTTTATATTCATTTCACCAACAGATCCTAGCTTCGAACCTTGTGGCAGACCTGAACATGAAGTATAGACACGTGACCAAGAGTTTTCATATTCCACATGTTGTTTTCTATAGAAGGGATAGTTTGTAAAAAGTCAAGCGAGCCTTGCAGAAGAACAACAAATTATTAATTCAATCATCTAAAAGAACAATTCGTTCAGGCCAATCTCAACTCCCTACACTGTAGATTAATGGATGACACCTATCAGAAAACAACTACTCCCCTGGCTAATATCAGTGCAGGATTCTTCACTGATGTTCACTACACTAGTTCATACAAAGAAGTAACTTTCAGAAAACAATGAAAGAAAAATAATTTTGAAACAACTACATCCATATGAACATTGAATTATACAAAAAGCACTTTTATCTATTCAGTTTTCACTCAAAACATTCGTTATGGAATTAATTCAAGATTGCTGCATAATCAAAACTGTTTTCCACAATAGAAGCTAAGACAATTTCTCAAGTCTTGTACATCAGGCTTCATATTTTTATTAATATGCAGTACTAATCATATAACGGTAAATTTAATCTTAGATTCTCAAAGTACATATATTTCAAAATTCAATCTCACCAATATTTTCTTCTTGAGGACTCCCCATGTTCGGATAAATCTCTTGCTTTATCCTAACAATACCAATATCAGTATACTCTGTTGATGGTAAATCGTGCTGGCCACTTGGAGATGAACTAGGGTAGTGTTCCAAACTCGGAGGAGTCGGAAACATCTTGCTCAGTTCTTCTTGTCTAATTGTCCCCATATTGGGACATCCATGACCGGAAAGTCTTTTACCGTCTTCGTGGTGGTTGATGGTCGTGGAACCCGGTGGAGTTTGAACTTGCATCTGCAAAATTTCGTGAAAAGAATTTCATGATTGGAACTGCCCTTTAGATCATTAAAATATCTTTCAAATCCTTAAAATGGATCATAAATTTGTTCATCTAACATCTTTAATGAACAAGTTGTTCTGAGGGGAATATTTACTTATATTTTAAAAATTCCTGAAGTGATCTAAGTCTTCTCTGGATAATTACCGGTTCTACTTCAACGGTTCCTAATATGGTTTTTGAATTTACTACTCAAGCAGCTTATAATCCAGTGTCTAACAAAATCGAAGGTTTTTATCACTGAAACAACTTTTTTTGACACTATGTGACCTGACAAAGGCCTTCGACTGTGTATTGTATACTATTTTGATTGAAAAAATGAGTCATTATGGTGTCTATCTAGGACATAGCTCTTGAGTTCGTCCAGTCTTATCTCACAAATATGTACCAATATGTTGAAGTGGACGACATTAAGTCAGACATCAAAGAAATGAAGAATGGCGTTCCTCAGGGCTCCGTTTTACGTCCACTGTTGTTCATGATCTACATCAATGATCTATGCAGTTTTATAAAACCAGAAAGATGTACCTTGTTTGCAGATGATACGACTTTATTATGCTTTAGCAAAGACTTAACCAGCTCACAACTAACGAGGTGAGATAAAGAAACATTAGCATATAATGGGGAATGTTCCTCCTGACGAAAATCAAGTAATTTACGCATTTTAAACTTATCATTTCAACCTTTTTCTTCAAAAAATTATTTAAATACTTAAAAAATAGGAATGAAATAATGCATTAAACATTTAAAGGGATTCGTTTCTATTTCACCATTTGGCAACATTGGTTATAGCTAATAAAGGNTCACATTGCAATTTTTGTCATACAACGAATAGATATCAAGTTTACCTATCCTACTCGATAAATGGTTTTCTTTGCCGTCCGGCTTAAACTTCTTCACCGGATGATTCAGCCAAGCGTCTAAAGTCGAATAGTCGTATAACATCTCTAAAGTCCGTTCTTCTTCTCCAAGCGCCACCTAAAAAGTTATCAATGAATAAATTCTTCCAAATCATATATTTCACTATATTATTATATTAAAATTTAACAATCATAATATAAGATTATTATTTTCAAAAATAGGTAATTTTGAATTGGAATCTATAAATTTTATATGCCAAGTTTCAATTTAAAAAAAATACGTTGAAGTGAATTTAATAACTAAGTAAATGTGTCTTTGTAGTTTTCATCTGGGACCTCTGATGATCCGCATATTTAGCAAAAACATTCCCAGTACAATATTTTTCAATATTATTGTTAGTAAAGCAAGCGCCAAACTTGATGGCAAGCCAGCCCCCATGCACACACTCATTTTCAATGTAACCCCCATAACAGCTCTTGCAAGACATATAAATGTTCTGTACAGAGGCGTATCGTTACTTATCCTCCAATGCTATTGGCGTTTGGAATTGTCTGAATAATTTGTGTTGTTTACGGAAAAATGTCTTCGCCTAACAAAAGTTTATTTTTGAATAAGTGCTTAATTATAGAACATTATAACGAACTGTATTACTACTTATAAGACTAAATGAAATATAAAAAGGAATTACAAATAAGTCATGTTCCATTTGCTACCCTAATTGAAACTAATTATAGGTACGACACTGGCCGGCAAGGGGCTGTTCATAATCCAATAATAATTTATTTGGGAGAGTCTATACCTGCGTTATCGCTCGCCATCACGTTTGGCGCTTGCTATAATAAATCATATATAAATAGTTGTTGATTGGTTGATTTTTATTTGCAAACAAAGGTAACAACTGTCAGGAATTGGTATTCCTTAAATCATATGGATTTGAAGGCTGTCAAATGTTATATCTCTCCATCTTCCTAGTAATTCGATTTCTCTTGTCTACATTGCTGAAACACTTCTATTCCAAACCATCAAAGATTTTGATTCTTAGCTCTCATTCAACTAACACATTATGTGTGAGTTGAAAAAACAAAATTTTAAGTTTCATTGAAATATGCTCCTGAAAGATTTCATAGAAAACAGTTCAATAAAAGTAATATACCACATATTAGTAAGATATCTGGAATACCCCTCCTGGTCTCTAATTTACAATAATACAAGTAAACATTTTTCACATATTTTACATTCAAGAAACATGGCTTGAGAAAGTTTTAAGTAAAAAAAAAATCAGCTATATCCTCAACTGTTTATATATTGCTACAAGAGCCTTGGCCTAACCTCCAATTTATACTGTAAAATACTATTAGGTTGTTGCAAAGGTTTTGTCCGTTTTAATGCTACTGGGATGACAGTAACCCACACTTATTCCAAGAGGTCCATACCCAGTACCTTCAAAAAATCAATGTCTGGTGTGGCATATTAGGTAGTCATATCGTAGGGCCACTTTTTATTCCTGGGAATTTAAATCATGATCACGGCTCGTACATAATTAATTGTTCATTGACAAAATCAGTAATTTTGGGCTCATTATGTATCAGATATTTTATATCAACCTGGTTACTACAGACGATAGTCAATTAAAGAAGTACCAAGATAGTGACTTAACTGTACTTCAATCATTAAAAAAAAATTAATCAAAATTCAACTTACCTCATACTCTTTGCTACTCAACACCGGCTTCTTCAACACCAGACTGGAGATGGAGTTAGTTTGTGGTTCGCCTTTGACATCCATCTGACCGACAGGACTGTTTGCCGAGCTATCTACGCTCTTCGGAGGTTGGTTGTCTGGCGTATGAGTCTTATCGACAGATGAAGGATTGGTGGTAGGCAGATGGGGTGACAGTGTCGGCATAGTTTGGTCTCCAGGAGGGACGGAAGCGGGTTGAGAATGAGGATTCGGTAACGGAGAAGGAGCTACGGAAGGAGGAGATCCCACTGAAGGTATTGCCATAGATTCTTGAGTTCTTGGATAGGATGGAGGGCCGCCCTGAGGAGTGTATGAACCCGTACATCTGCAAATGAAGATTATTGAATTAAAAGCCTATTTTATTTCGGATAATGAATAATCACATCGAAACCACTTTCGACTGGAAAATGCCCAGTATTGAGTTTCAAAAGGTATGTTGGTTTATGACGATTATTTTCAAATAGATTAAGATCATGCATATTCCGATGAGGTGCATATGAAATGCCGAAGTTCAGGTGAAAAACACCTTAACCCTTGTCTCTCATGTGAACCTAAGACTTTATAGGTACGTGTGGCAGCTACCCGACTGAAAAACAGTAACTAACCCAGCAATGCCGCGCAAAAAGCTCAAGTAAAACCATCAGGCATCTGTGCAACGTCTTCCATTTGAAAGATTCGTCGCAAGAAACTTCCTATATTTGAAAAGCAGAAATTGATTTCATTTGGTCAAGTCGAACACCAATAGACCGGTTTTGGAGTACTTGCTCCTCGTCAGTACCAGGAAGGAGTGAACCGTCTGAGTAACCCGAACAAACAAAATCAATTCCAACTAGTCATAAGCTCTATCTGCATTTGATTCAGTAGGAAGTCTGTCCCATGCGCAACCTGCAGACAAAGTCCAGAAACAACTTCAAAAACACATACTCAGTGGTGGGAGTCAGAATAATAAACATATTCCAGAGAAGTGCATATGAAATGCCCAAGAAAGTCGTAGGTGCATATGAGAGTCAAGGGGTAAGGCGATTTTCATCTGAATTGGGCATGTCATATGCATCTCTCTGGAATGTTTATTTTTCTCACTCCTACCACGGAGTATGTCTCTGTGGGGTTGTTTCCGGACTTTGTCTGCAGGTGGCGCAGTGATATCCTACTGAATGAAGTGCAGATAGAGCTTATGACTAGTTAGTCATCTCACTTCGTCTGAAATGGCCTTGCCGGTACTAATGAGGAGCAACTACTCCGAAACCGGTCTATCAGTGGTCTGCTTTTCATATAAGGGAAGTTACTTGCAACAAATCTTCCAAATGAAAGACGTTGCGCAGGTGCCTCATGGTTTTTCTTCAGCTTTCTGCGCGGCATTAGCTGTTTAGCTGATTAATTGTGGAAAAACGAGTTTCTTCTTTACCGAATGGATTTTTCCAGGATATTCAAAATTACAAAATGGAAGCAAACAATAAATCAAAGAACATATGGAGGTAAGACCAAAATTAGGTTTAAAAAAGGAAATGGCATTAATGCTTCACGAATAAAAACGGTGACAGATGAAAAATGTGACAAATGTTGAATATTTCGTCATTACCTGAGAAAATAGATTTGAATATAATTTTCATATGTGAGGAGTTATCATAAATATAATTCTCAGTAAAAATATAGAAATAGAAAGATTTTCAATTGTCAGTTGTAGATTCAATTTCGTTATTTGATCTAATCAATACAATTGATTGCAATGAATGTAGTAGTAATCTTTATTATAGGATATATCCTAATCTTACAAGATATAATAACTAATAACGATTTAAATTTCCATACAGTACCAAAAATATTGATAACATTTAAATCTATATACAGTGTGTCAATTTGAAAACTTCCCACCCTCAATATCTCCCTTCCAGTACATAATATGAAAAAATGGTCAGACAGGTCAACTTTATTTGCAAGGGGGACACTCTGAATGAATATTTTCAACCCTCGGGGTTCAACCCCCTAGGAGGGGTGGATGTTACCCTCAGAATTTCAAATGGAAAGGGGGGTCAAGTGGCACATCATTTTGAAGGGCATTCAATTC